GCCTCAAGGTACTACCTCTTCGCTCTGATCCTGAACCTGACCCGGGACGCCTATGAGATCAGCCTACTGATGGAGCGGGAGTCCCGGGGCACCGGGGGCGGTAAGGCGGGAGGCGGGCCTAGCGCCCAGCAACAAGAGAACGGGGAGGCGGGATTGGTCAAGGGTGGCGGTGGCTCCACCCCCAGCGAGGGCTCGCTGCCGAAGTGCGCGCAGAGGCAGCTCCTCCTGCTGGCCGCCGTGCTGCACAGCAACCCCCCTCTCCTGCTGGACCTGCTGAAGAACTTGTGCGACATCTTCATCCCCCTTGACCGACTGGGCCTGTACAGAACCGGGCCTGGGTTTGTCGGGGCCTGCGGACTGACCTCTTCCATCCTGTCCATCCTCACCATTGTCTACCCCTGGCTGAAGCTCAAACCCTGAGGGGCTTGGGCGTCAGCGCCAACCGAAGTCGGCCCCAGTCCACATTGACCCTTGACCCTTGAACTTTGAACTTTGAACTCCACCCTGTAACACCCTCTGTCAGCAAGCGGACCTTCCCCGTAAAAGGCATTCAGAGAGCTCTCCTGGCGGTCGGTGTCTTCGTATGAAGAGATCTTTCCAGAGTCTGTGCCGGGTCTTGGCTCTTGGCGTGCTTGGTGCAGTGGTGGCGTATAGCGCCTTTCTTTCGGGAGCTGTCGTCAAGGTGCCCTGTCCCCGCACCTCCCGCACACCGACTCTGTGCATTTTACCAGGCAGCTTCTCTGAACCTGTGTACCTGCCTGCCCACCTGGTGGGCTCTCTCTCCTCCTGACTGACTCCGCCCCAGCCTGCATTTAACCGTGTGTAATAAACCATCTGAAGCCTAATCACTGCAATTTCTCTCTTTGTTATTGTTGTAAAGGACAAACACTGACGCCTCACTCTGTCTCGGTAGTTTTACTGTACGGCTGATTGGAAGGCTCGTTGGAAATCTACAGTATGTCTGGTTCTGCTTAAATAAAAAAACTTAATTGTTTTCAACAAAAAGATTTTGGTTTGGAGGCATTTTTGAAAGCTTTCTGTGTAGTATGAAGCTGCTCTGTTTGTTAAGGTTGCAAATATTTAATCCAGTCTGGGCCGGGTCACACTGTAACCCTACAGTCCAGAGATCACTGGTCCAGTCTGGGTCACACTGTAACCCTACAGTCCAGAGATCGCTGGTCCAGTCTGGGTCACACTGTAACCCTACAATCCGGAGATCATTGGTCCAGTCTGGGTCACACTGTAACCCTACAGGCCAGAGGTCACTGGTCCAGTCTGGGCCGGGACACACTGTAACCCTACAGGCCAGAGGTCACTGGTCCAGTCTGGGTCACACTGTAACCCTACAGTCCAGAGATCACTGGTCCA